CCTATGTACATGTATAACTGCAAAACTGGTGTGACTCTGCATCTAATGTACGACTAGAGAAATGAAAGTTGTGCTCCATTTGTGTATGGTGAGTTGAAATGCATTCTGCTGTCATGTACAACTTATTAGAACAAATAATAATAATAATAATAATAATAATAATAATAATAATAAAAAGATAGTGCACCATGATCAAGTGGGATTCATCCCAGGGATGCAAGTTAGGTTCAATATATGGAAATTGATAAATGTAATTCATTACATTAGTAGACTTCGAGGCAAGAATCACATGATTTATTTCAACAATGCAGAAAAAGCATTTGAAAAAATACAGCATCCATTCATGTCCAGAACAGTAGAAAAACTAGGCTAGGAGTTAGGAACATACCTCAACATTTTAAAAGATATATATGCTAAACCCAAGGCCATCATCATTCTAAATGGAAAAAAAGTTGAAAGCATTTCATCTAAAAATTGGAACAAGACAGGGACGCTCCTCTTAAAACTTGGCATACAACAGTAATGTGGCCATATCAATGTTTATGAAAGCTCAATTCATAACAGCTAAGCTATGGAACCAACCTATGTACAGATGAATGGATAAAGAAAATGTGGTTTATATATACAGTGAAATATTACTCAGCCATAAAGAAGAATGAAATTTTTATGGCATTTGCTGATAAATGGATGGAGCTGGAGATTATAATGCAAAGTGAAATAAACCAATCTTCAAAAAACAAAGGCTGAATGTCTGGATAGTTAGATGCTAACACACAACAAGAGGGATGGTAAGGGAAGAATAGAAGTTCACTGGGTTAGACAAAGGGGAATGAAGGGAAAGGAGGGGAGATGGGAATAGAAAAGGCAGTGGGATGAATCTGACATAATTTTCCTATGTACATATATGAATACACCATAGTGAATCTCAACATTGTGTACATCCACAAGTCTCAGTCTCAAGACTGAGATCCTAATTAGAATAAGATGTACTCCATGTTTATGTAAATACATTTAAAAATAGACTACTTTCATGTGTAACTAAAAAGAACAAATAAAAATTTTAAAAAATTCAAAGCTCAATATAATTGTAAGCAACTAAACCATGATGAATTTTAAATTTTTTGTGCAGCATAATTATAGAAAGTAGTGGGATTCATTGTGGTATCTTCAGACATGCACATAATGTAATTTGGTCAATTCCATTGCCCTCCTTCTCCTCACCCCAATCTCTCTCCTCTACTCTTTAGGTCTTCCTTCCATTTTCATGGAAATTCCTTTTTTACGTTAACTCTTTCTGCCTTCCATGTGAGAAAACACATAGATGGCCTTCAACTTTCAGTCTTATTTAATTTACCTACCACGATGTTCTATAGCTCCAACCATTTACTGGCAAATATCATAATTTCATTCACCTTTATGGCTATGTAAAATTTCCACAATGGAGTATTCTTTAAGAAAACTTTTTCAATAAAAAAACAATTTCTTCTTTCTCTTCTACTTTATGTAGAACAAATTTTGACCATGTAAAATAATCCTATTTGATACTGTTTTAATTAAAAGTAGATGGGAAAATAAATGTGCCTGCCAACTAGATAAATGAACACATAGGCCTTGAAAAATAACATGTCAGAAGATGAACATGTTAGTGATGTAGATACTTACTAGATTGTTTAAACTGTCACTTGTTTTCCAAGAAATTCTAACATGAAACTAGAAAACATGTGATTAAAAGAAATATTAAACAAAAGCTCAAGTTTTATCATGAGATCTACAGCCAAATTCTTCATCATCAAATAATACAATGGGTTTTAAAAAATATATGTGAGTTGAAACACTTCCATTTGCATGAAATGATCAAAGAATTATGAACAAAACATTTTTTTTAAATCAATCTTTTTCTCACTTTCAAGTCTCCAAGGTTTTTTATGTATTGTATTATTTATCTTTCCAACTCCTGCCCTCAATTCCAACAATTAGCTGATCCCTTGGGAGCTGGGGGAAGGCAGTGGGTGACTCTCCAAATCAATTATTTTCCTATTTTCTCAGCCTCTTGATGTCTTCCTTCCCTTTTTACCCTGATGAAATGTCATGACCCCAGATATGACCATTCTCTTCCACACTCCCTCAACTCATTTGTCTCTCACTTGCTTCACTCTCATGGCAAAGCCACAGCCCTGGCTAATTCAAACTCTTCATCTACCTCCTGTGTAATGGGAAGGAAACCCCGGCCATACTGACTAGCCACTGTGACTGTGAGCTCAGCACCATCGGACAACTATACCATTCTCCCAGAGTATTTCTTCTTCCCACACTCCAAACACCACTTACTCCACCCCTACACAAGATGAAGACTTTAATTCTCACTTCAATGAGAGTATGAGAACCTCCAGCCCTTAGCTCCACATCTGCCCAGCATCTGCTGGCACATAAATAGAAATACGCATGTGTCTATGTAGATAGCTGGTCTCTCATTTTGTGCAATTGACCTCACCCCTCTTACGTTCTCAAAAATTTTGTTCCAACTATTTTCATTCTATTGGGGCATGATTGTTGGCACAAACATGTTATTTTTCATCTCTTAAAGGGGTTAAAAACAGCTTTTCACTCTACTTGCTTTTTTCCACTATTGGAAAGGTCAAGATGTGACCCTTGGTCACCTTTGGAGCAAAACTTCTTGAAAGAATAACTTGTAATTTTTTTCTCATTCCTTTCCTTCTTTCCCCCTGCTACCCTTCTGAAATGCTTTTATCATAATCACCAAAAGCCTCTACATTGCTAAACCCAATGATAAGTTCTCAGGCCTCATCTTATTCTATCAAGCAGCAGCTCTGAAAATGCCATCACGCCTCCTCTTCTGTTTCGTTCTCTTCACTTCCATTTCCTTTTTTATCATGTTATTGTCCATCTCACTTGACTAAACCCCTTGGAGGTAATAATCTTTTTATGTTTTGTTCATTGGCAATACGTAAATGTCAGACTGTGACACAATGTAGGTTTTTAGTAAGTATCTATAGAATTGGGTGAATATAAAAGTTGAGCTTAATTGGTATACACAGTAGGGGCAATCATAAGAAAAGCATGCCCAACCAGCAAGTAGGGGAATCCTCTGAGAGTTGGAGGTTGGAGCCCTGAGTATATTATTAGCAAGTGCTACCTCATTTCACTGTAACAGGTGTTGAGTTAAAATGCATATGCATATTAACATCTGATACTGGGCATGTTTTATGGAACACAGGAACCAGCCCGATAAACTGACCACTATCCAACTTCTTTTTCTATTACTATTAAGAACATAGAAGAATACAGGTAGCCATCCTGTGCTTTCATGTACAGAAGCACAGGATTGCTTCCTAATGCCTCTGGCTGCCATGCTGGTGGAGACACGGGAAAGGATAACTCTTGACAGTTGCACACCTTCCTGGTAGCAGCTAGAACTCCTTACAGAACTCAAGACTGGGGCAACTGTGTCTGGTTCCTACATCCTCCTTGGGCTGGCTACATATGAAAGAGTTGACATAGACTTTTTGTCTTTCTATACGGAAGTTTTAAAAGTATTTCAACCAAAGGCAAAGTAAGGTGGGAAGATAAAAAGATACTAGAAGAAACACTTTTTTTTTTTTAAAGTCCTTGCTTAGTATAAGTACCAGCACTAAGTGCCACTAACATTCACAACTTAGCCCCCAATGACTGAGCCTGTCTCCTTTGAACCCATCATAATACTATAAGTATATATGCCACAAAATGGAAAAACTTGAAGTTAATTGTAATTTCTATTATAAATTTATTATGAAAAATGTGTACAACATGGATTATTCCTTATTCATATGAATGATGCCAAGAAACCGAGGGCTGAGTAAACCAGAGTCAACTGGCTGCCATTTTTACAACTTAGCACGATGTGTATTTTTGTGAACGTTTAATGTTGGACCTTTAATCATCTTTAAAATAGTCTCAGCAATTGTCTCTAAAATTGACTAATGTTAAGTAAAATCACATCTATGAAGGATGCCAAAGGGGGAAAAAAAAAAACCTCTCCTACCATATAAATGGTGGTTACATTAATATCATTCTGTACTTCTGGCTCTGAACCATCTAATAGCTCTTTTCTAGTAAAACAATAAAAACCGTTAAGGGAAATGAGGAAACAGCACGGGGATTATTGCTGTTAGTACTGCACAGTGTATTGGAGTCTTGATGCTTGTTTGCATTTGCTTGGAATAAGTATCCAAGGGAAAATTAAGTTCTAAGCTGAGGCTACTATTTGAAATCCCAGAAAGAGCTCTGGGGAATAGTTTGGCTTTGGGGGGACAATAGATTTCTGATGAAGTACACCATTCCCTAATGAAAAAGGCTGGGCACTGCTTCATATGCTAAAATTTGACCAATGTGAGGAGTGTGATGATCAGTTTGGGAATGAGTGTTTTAATAAAAGAAACATGAAATCGTCTGTGCTTTGGCAGGACATACCCCAAACCATCATGAGAGCTGTCATCCTGGCCCACAGATGATCCCTACCGTGCCACAACTGTGCAAGTTCCCACTGACACCACTGACAAAGCTGGCGTGGAAACAGGGGCATCATCCAAAAGCAGTCATGTTGGATTCTGCTTTGCTGGAGTCATAAGAAAAACAAACCACTTCCCCACCTCCCCCACCCCTAGAAAACCTGCCACCAAATAGATCTGGGGCTCTGCAGAACTACTCCGTCTGTACCTTTCTGAACAAGTGAATAAACAGAGATGGGAAAACAGCAATTGTGGAAGGAAAAAGGCATATATTTTGAAATAATAATGCAGTGTAAGAAATGTGACATAAAGATGCTGCAAAAAGTGAACTTTGAACCGTTCAGGTTGGGACTAATACTTCAACAGGAACAATAGGCCACAGCTCAGGAGGAGAGAGCATTAACTTTTAACTATATTTTATAAGAAGATACCAAATGCAATAAATCTCTATGGACAGTTCTGAAGTTTACATTTTCATTAATAAAAAATAATTACCCGCATAAATGCTTGATGTGTCCTGCAATTAGCTCTTTTGCTCGATACTTGAATGCTTCCTGTGATCACGTCAGAAGTTCCATTAGTAGAGAAGTAAAATCTGGATGGAGTCTCTGCCTTTCTGTTCACATCCAAACTCATGTTATAAAACAAAACTGAAAAACATGTCAAGAACTGCAATCAATTTAAGGAACTATCTAAATACATTTATCATTTTTGAGGAAAACGTTATATAAAATACTGAAATACTTTAAATTCACTTCATTAGATAGCTTTTTTTTTAAGAGAGAGAGAATTTTTTTAATATTTATTTTTCAGTTTTCGGTGGACCCAACATCTTTATTTTATTTTATATGGTGCTGAGGATCCAACCCGGTTCCCCGCATAAGACAAGTGAGTACGTTACCACTTGAGCCATATCCCCAGCCCCAAGATAGCTTTTTAAAAACTAAATGAAACATGAAAGAAGGAACAGCTAAAAATATAAATTTCAAAAATTAATTCCATAAAAACATTTTGTAAACTTCTTTCTAGGTTTCTATTATTAACAATATCAGCTTCTTTGGTTATTTTCTTATTCCTCCTACTTATAAAAGTTTCAAAAGTACAATACCAAAATTGTTACTAATAGTAAAAGTGAGTAAAACTTCTGGATTACCTTCTGTCCACATATCCTGAATTTATAAGTGAATTCTTCACAAACTAAGCTAAATCTAGTAGTCTGCTGAGGTGTCACTCATTACACAGGAACAATAACTCACAAGTGGCATTTAAAAGATATATATTTCCTGTAATTATTTACTCTTCTAGAAGTAACTTACTAGGAGTAATTTATTCTTCTAGAAAGATTGCACCTACTTATTTCAAGGAAATATAGGCATTAACTCTATAGTACTCTTACACATTTCAAATTCATCTTTCAACCATCCTTTTACTTAAGAAATAATAAAGTACAAATCAGTTGACTTCAAAATTACAATAACTGAGATTCAATAACTCAAAGAACAAGAGAGCTGCAATTGAAATAGCCATCTACAAATTCATCTCCCAGAGTTCAGACAAAAAAGAAAAAGGGGAAAATTAAAACCTACTCCTGTAAGAGGCAAAATGTCCTAGTTTTATTAAAGATGATTACAATGTGAATTATCTGCCCTAAGGAGTCATTTATGACAATTATAAAGCAGGCTTCTGCAACAGTGCTGTAATTATTTATGAGTTTCGTGTACTTGTTTTCAACTGTTTTTTCAAACTACCTAGTACACTGGAATTGGTGGCATAGGAACACTGATTTTGTGTAAGGGAAACAACCCTATCCATTCCATGTGCTTCTTTCAGATAATCTATCCATTTGTCTACGCTAATTTGTAGTTCATTGGGGCCATGCTCTGAAGGTGCCAGTTCTTCAATCAACAACCAGATGAAGGTTTTGCACACCTCTTTGATAGTGAAGCTTGGCCAGGATCTTCCAGACCACTCTTTAAAATGAGTCTGATGAAGTAGAGATACCAGGCTTATTCTGTACATCTTATTAAAAGCTGATTCAGATGGAGATCTCTATTAAATATCCATAGTTTGGCTCACTAAATGTTTGCAGCCCTTGCTGATATTTGTATGAGAGTGGTCTGCAGGGCCATAAGTACAATCACCATAAGTCTCCTGGAGACCAGAACTTCTGTGAATTGTTAATATCCAAATGACGAACGAACCCAGGAATGCTCATCTCCTACCATGGGTTGTTTCCACTAGCTGTTATTCTCATACTACCTTAAATAAAACATAATAACGGACATTCATCTGCTGACAAAAATATGATACTTACAAAGTCATATATGTGTGTGTGTGTGTGTGTGTGTGTGTGTGTATGGATTAACCACCATTTTGGATGAATCATATTGATAGGTGGCAGACAGACATGAGCAATCAGCACAGGAGGTTGGCAGGATGGCTCTGTAAACTGGGCCTATGGTACTAACCCCCATGTGCTTTCTTTTGAAGGCTACTTGCCTGAAGCCACTCTGCCCAGCCCGACTGAAGTCAATAAGATAGGCCACATTCCTAAGCAAACCACCTGCTTTCTACATAGAAATGCAAGCTGAAAGGCTCCTCCCTGCTGATAAGAACACAAGGTACTCTGCAGGGGGGACTTTGGGGACCTACACAGAGACCAGATTCCAGTTCTCAGGGAGACAAGATAATTAGGAGCAAAGCCCCCAGGACCATAGAATCTGTAAGAACAAGTTTCAATTAGAATTGGGCAGCATGGAGCAGGTGACCCAGCCTTGCATCTTTAGCGTGTCATTATAACAGTAAAATCTCCCCTCCCTGAAGTAGGCCCTGCACAGTGGGGACTATTAGTAAGTCTACTGCCATCCTGCTGTCAGTCAAAAGTCAAAAGGTGCCTCTGGGCAAGACTGTGGAAACTTCCCTGGAGTCCCAATAAAACAGTGGGACAGGAGAAACCACCAACCCTCTTCCCTCTGAGAGGAACCTTTCTCTTTTGAGAGTAATTCCTTCAGAAGGGCTGACCAGTTATTTCAGCAGGATCCTTAGTGCTGAGTCACAAGAAGCAGGCGAACCAGAGCTTGAATGCAGCCTATCCGGGCTCGGTGTGTGTTCTGAGAGGCTCAAACTGTTTGCCCCAGATCCACATCAGCTCAGCATTGCCTAGTGATCCTGAGCAAACAGCATTTAGGCTGTTTGTGACTCCCTATGCCCACACAGCTGAAGAGGTCAGAGACTTGATCTCTTTGTGCCCGCCGCCATGTTGGATCTCCGATAGCATCTTCAACAAATGGTGCTGGGAAAACTGGAAATCCATATGCAACAAAATGAAACTGAATCCC